TGTTGAACTGTTTGCTTAGGAGAAAATAACTCTGATCATGTCTTCTTCCTATATTAATAGTGGTAGTAGAGGCAAGCTGGGGAAACTATATAGTGGCTTAGAGAAGTCTCAGGGACAAAGGAACTGCACAAAGGGACATATTGTGCATGTTTGCATTTTGGGTAGGAACGTGTGGGTTGCTGGAGTGGAATGTGTGGATGAAATGAGGAGTTAGGTGCATGTGAACCCAGCTGTCCCCATATGTGAGAAGAAAGGTGTCCAATCGTGAGGTGCCTTTTTTTAAAAAAAAAAAATAAAATCAATTCAATATAGGCCTGAAGCAGTTTATTGTTTATTGTTCACCGAGGTCTCTTTCATCCAAGACCTCTTGGTGCACAGTTACTACCATGTCCTGTAGTATTTGATGGATTTTGAGTCTGTTACTCAGCACTGAGGCTTCCTGCATCATGAGGAGCCTTTGAAAGATACTCTGGAGTTGAAGAACTGAGTTTTGAGCACATAAATATGTGCCAACGGTATCTGCAACCGCAACACCCAGCCCTGACCAATTTCTTGTGTTTTGCAAGTGAACCTAAAACAGCACGTGTTGGAAATCGGGGGTTGAGAAACGTGGCTGCCTATGTTCTGCGATGGAGTGGTTGGTATGTGAAACGCTTCTGGGTGTCAACAGCAGCCAGCTGAGGTGCCTGTGTTAGCCTGGAACAATGCTTGCAGATCTCACAAGTGCCTTGAAGTCTAAAGGTAAAGAGCAAAGGGTGACTAAGGCTCCATCACAGCCTGGCTGTGAACCAAAACTAGAATACAACTCCTCCAGCCTTAGGTCGTGCAGATGTGCCGAGTTCATCCTTCCTCTTCCTTTCAGTGTCACTGCCTTCTGCCTGCTTAATTTTTCTGCGTTTTCCCCCTTTGATTTATTTCTCGCCTGTGCTACCTGTCTCAAGACACTGAGTCACAGCTGTAATCTGTTTGAACTCCCACGTGCAAATTTCCCTGTTTCCCATACATTTTCTGATAAGCAGCTGGTTCAGCTTTCTGGAAGGCGCTCTTGCTTGAGGGAGCGGTGCTTTGCTCTCGTATTACCCGGGTGTCTCTGTCACTTGGTACCTTTTAACACCATCCACTGAACATGGCTCAGCTTTTCCATGACCATTAGCACAGACTTTCTCTCCCCCACAGCTCGCTCCCCGCCCTGTACTCAACACTACTCCTCCTGCTGATGTTAATTTTGAGTTCTGGAGCTTTATCCCTTGACTCCCCTTGTGACATCTCCTTCCACATCCCTTAAATTTTCCTACACTGCTATCACTGCTTCGTGCAATGTTCTCCTACTTCACTTCTGGTGTACAAGTGAGGAGTCTCTAAACACACGCTCATCACCACGCTTGAGGATGGCAGTCCTGAAAGGTGCTTCTTGACTCCAGCCAAACCCCTCAGCGTGCTCGGATGTCTGCCTCCGGGACCTGAATGAGTTAACTATTCATGCAAACAATGTTTTCTGAGTACTGGATTTCTTGATTGGGTGTTAGATATCAAAACACCATTAAAGTCAGTGTTAGGTGCTTATTATAGTCAATTCGCTGAAAATGCCACAAGGTAGTTATTATTGCAATACGTGAATAAACACACGAATACCACTGCCTTTCTCTCATTAAGGTGAACACAGGAACTGTAGGGAAGGCTCAGGCATACACTAGTGATGTCATTTATCGTTTGATACCCCAACAGACAGCGCTGAGGCCACTCAGTTGATAAGATCTTACTGTTGTGACAGACTTTCAAAGCCCTAAACAATAGCATAGCCCCGGATTAGCAGCAGAAAGCACTAAACAAGCTAGCCTGAGCAACAACTGCGGGTGGAGACAGAAATCCCTGGGACAGGGAGTCCTGTGTGACGTCCCTCAAGTACCTTTGCTGACTATTTCTTCTCTTGCAAAAAATGAGCTGTCTTCACACGTGATCAAGTGGCTAACCTCGTGTCAAATGCAGTGATGCTTTGTTTCACTTCTGTCATTTTGCACTTGTGTTCCTGCAGAAAGCTGGTCCCAGACTGAGGGCTGGATGAGAGATGGGGTGGTAGCTTATGAGATGAGCATATCAGCTTTTTGGGCGGCCTGCTATGGAGGTGACCAGGGAGCTATGTAGAAGCCAGCAGCTCAAAGGAGCACAAATATTTCTTTCTACTCAGCCATCGCGTTGCGTACAGGTGATGCACAGCTCTTCCACCTTTCTTATTGTGGGACCACACGTGAAGACTATGGGAGTCTGCAGCCCGTTCTGGCTGGGATGAAAAAGCACAAGGATGATGCTCATAAGGATTTCCTATGGGAACAGAAAACAGCCCCTCTCAGTGCTTTCTTCTCTGAACAACCTTTTCAGAGGCTACTCGCCAACAAGCCCAATTCTACAGCATGATCTGAACTGAGGCAGCAGATGGCCCCTTTTGCTGGCCAGGTCAGCTTGTTCCCTTTGCATTTAAGTTCTCTTCCATTAGCCAGTGGAAAACGGTCCATACCTTAACACAGTAGTAGCTGCCCAAGTGAGGAGTGCTTCTGTGGTACTTCAGAGAGGAAAGCTGAGCAACCAGCTCCAACAGCGGAGAACTCTCCCAGCTGATTTCCATGGCATAACTCTGCTAGAAAAACAGTTTTACCATACAGGATGAGTTAGGAGTTCCTGACTGTGCTGCTTGATTTTTATTTGGATGGCTACTGTTTAGCAAATTTACCTCACATCTATTCTTTTTAGAGATGCAGTTTTATTTACAGTTGTTCACGGGCATCCTGTTCCTTGCCTGCACTGCCTCCCATGACCAGCTTTAACACCATTATTTTTGTTATTTACAATCAGCTGCAGCCAGCGGAAGTTTTATGCTGACAGGCAAAGATGATATGCTGATATTAAGAATTCCAAGACAGCTGAAATTTGAAATGGTGCCTCAGTTGCCAGAAAAGTCTGTCTTTATACTGAACTATTAAAATTCTAGGCATACCAGGCTATTTTCTCAATGTAAGCAACTTGTCATAAACTACTCCTGCACTACCACGTTCATACAAATACTATGTTCAGTGGCAGTATTTGAAAATAGTATCTCACTAGATAGATCTACTTGCTTTGCATTTGTCTCGCTTATCTACCAAGTATCACGTTTGCATTTGGATGTGCAGCTTGAGTTAAAAAAGGATCACTGCACACAGTGTCATGCAGGCAGTGGTGGTGCCATGTGAGCTTTCCCCAGCAATCTTCCTCTCTGCTCCCTTCATACCTAAGCAAATCCAGGTGTGGAAATGCTGTATCACACACATCAACGAGGGCAAAACTTGGTTCTGGAAACAGGAAATGATGAACCAGAAGGAAAGAACCCAGTCTGAAGCTCAGGTTCCTGAGTTCAAGACTTGCAGTTAAAACAAAGAAGAGTATGCTTGAAAACAAATTTTCCACAGTAGCTGTACTCTTGAGCCAGGCAGCTCTTGAAGTCTCACAACACTAAAATTTGAAGAATGAGTACTATCAAACTGGAAGCTGATTTAATTCACAGTGTCTGTCTAGGCCAGTGTCACCTTCTCTCCTAAGGGATGCACCTGTCACCACACTGGAAATCAGGGAGTGAACTGCATTGCCAGAAAACTTCCTGTATCATGTGCCAACAGTCATTAGCTGAGGTCCTGACACACAAGGGATTTTTATCCCTTATGCCTTAACTAATGAGACTCTTCTCACAACCTATGCAAATATTTTTTTTTTTTTTTTAAGTTTCCAAGGATAATTGGGCTAGAGGGCTCCACAGGCTATTTGCACATTGTCGAGTATTTAATGTCTGTGTGCTGCTTTCTCTTTTTTTTCTGTAGACTGAATGTTCTTGTATCCATGAAAGAATAGGTAAGAGGATTCAGTTCACTTCTCCACACTTTCTGCTCTTTTTATGTATACTTTTTGACATTCCCTCTCACTTCTTTCCTTTCTAAGCTAAACATTCCTAGTATTTCTAGTCTCTGCTTACTTAAAACTTATCACCTGTTACTGCCCTTTTGAAGCTCCAAATTATTCTCACTTTTCTGCTGCTGACCGTTTTGCAGAGATCATCAACAGAACTCAAGAGGTGCTGAGTCTCTCAGCAGAACGCAGGCTGGTTTGGCCCGGTCCTAGCACACAAATCTTGACATTATTTACTTCCTATAACAAACTTTCAGTACCTTTTCTTCACACTAAATTACCACAGCCTGGTCAGTTCGCTTCTAACACACCAGTTCCTTCCCACTGACAGAACTCGTCTTAGTGGCAAGGACAATATTTGTGGACTTCGCTGTTGTAGGGGAAAGCACTGATTTGGATTAGCTCCGGATGTAGCATTCACAAAATCTCAGAACGTTTTTCAAGTTTGCTGAAAATATCTAAAGGTCTTGATAAAGGTTTTGCAACGCTGCAGGTGGGGAATACACCCTCAGTGAGTGAGGAGAAAGGTTTGTGCACTCTTCCAAGCGTATGAGAGGGAACGTGACAGCAGTAAGCCAGGCAGTATTAGTCCTGGTTGTAAATTCTGTACTTTGTTGCTTCTGCAGACAACCAAGAACACTGATGTCTTCAATGATTTCTGAACGCTATCTTTATATTTAATACTCCTTTAGTAGAAAGGATAACACTTATCTTCCTGGAAGACATTTTATGTTGGGGTGAAAAATAGCCTCATAAATTCATACCTTTATAAAGAAAAAGGATATGTGTATATGTCACAACGTTGGCCGTTCCACAAACTACACTGAGCCGGCTCTGAGACTTAGAATCACATGAGGATAAACCTTTTTCCAGACTAAGCCCTTGGCGAAAGATTGTGTGTAAGCAACATAATCTACAGAGGAAAAACTTGCTACTCTTTTTTTTTTTTTTAATCATAACTGAGATACATTTACTGAGCACTGCATGATTCCTTCCTTACAGAGGAGTAGCCTTTTAGAATCCCCCCCGCCCGAAATATGTGCTGAAGTAGCTTCTTCCAGCTGGTGTGCTTATTGCATAACTTTTCTATCAAAGGGGGTTGTGACGCTTTCTGAGTGGCCACGGAGAGCAAAGCGTTCATGGAGCAGTTCTTGCTTTTTTACTAGCTCTTCTGTTGCGGCTTCAGGGGCCCAAATCTGGAAAATAAAGGTATTTGTAGTAAATTTAGACATGATTTCTACAACTGAAGCATTAAGAAGATACTAGTGTTCTAGCACTCCTTTCCATCCCGAGACAGAAGAAAACTGGTGTGGCCTTCCAGCAGAAGATTTCACAACAATTTGTGTATATGTAAGCAGAGCATTCTCTTGTTGTCACTTTTAATATATATCATGCCATGGGCTCAGCTTAGGGATAATGTAGGAAAGAAGATCCAAAGCTAATTGTTTAGAATGACTGACTCAGGTCCAGGGTCCTCAGAACGAAAAATGGTAATTAGCTGTAGAGACACTGGCCATGTAGCCTTATTCCCCTGAGACCATTGCAGAAACTAGCACAAATTTGGGTTAGGGAAATGGTAAACAAACTCCAAACAAAACCTCTAGATCAGCAATGGTATCCTTTTTCTTTTTAAGGAGGAAAAGAATAATATTAAAAATTGCTTCTCTCTGATCTTTTTCTGTTTCTTGGCTATTTGTGAATGAGTATTAACAAATCCCCGATACGAAAATTATATTTCCAGTATTCCAACTCTGGGAAGTAAATATTTAGTGTACTGTGGTCCATTTAGTTCAGTAACAGTCACTGACACAAGTAATCATGTGATAACCAATTGAGAAGGCCAGTTCGAGTTTGGTGCCAGTCCTGTGCACGAGGGCTCTTACCCTTTAAGTGCAAGAACATAAAAATTAGAACCATGACGTAGTTGCATTTGTATTTTACTGCGGGTCCACTTTAATCCTATTTTAAAACTTGGTAAGAGCTTGATTTTCATCATAATTTCTTTTTATATAAATATACAAGTATATATCAAACTTAGAGTTTACTGCTGCTCTGTGGCAATCTCTAGCCTGTGTCACACCATCTGTAAGCTAGCTGAACTGTAGTCATTTCATCAGATTGTTCTGGGTTTTGATCTACAGCAAGGTCTACCTTTAAACTCAGGTGAAACCGTGCTCATGCTTTGCTACCGTACGTACTTTCCTGGGTTTGAATGTGATGTCATCTCTGTTAGCAGCACCACTGGTTATCAGCGAGTTCAGATAAATAACACTGTCCTTAAGGGAATGCATTGTCTTTTCAGAGACGGATTTTTCTGCAACTGGCGGAGATATCTGTGAAGGATGAAAGAGAAGAACTTATCAGTTACACAAACATATTGTGTTCAGAAGCAAGGCACACATCCTGCATCTTCTGATGCTTCTTTTGCTATCTGTTTGTTGTGCGTGTATTTTTTCCTAATCTGTTCAGAATCCATTTTTCTTAAAGATGATAATTATCTTATAACCAAAATTTGTGAGGGAAACACTTCAAAAAGTAGGGTATGACTCTCCTCCTTGGACACTAAAACATTAGCTGCTCTTTAATCATAGAATCATAGAATGGTTAGGGCTGGAAGGGACCTTCAAGGGTCATCTAGTCCAACCCCCCTGCAAGGAACAGGGATATCTCCAACTAGATCAGGTTGCTCAGGGCCTCGTCCAACCTGGCCTTGAACGTCTCCAGGGATGGAGCATCCACCACCTCTCTGGGAAACCTGTTCCAGTGTTCTACAACCCTCATGGTAAAAAATTTTTTCCTAATATCCAATCTGAATCTACCTCCCTCTATTTTAAGACTCCCAAGAATCACCTAGTACCACTGGTGATCCCATCCTGTGCTGGATGATGAATAAATAAGCACCTAAGCTTGTCATCCTCCTGTCTATGGAAGTCTTATACTATCCCTGACATTCAAAATATTTTTGAAAGGGGGAAACCAACATTTGGCTACTGGGATGTGTGCCCTGTGGCATCCAGTGTAGGACTGCTGAAGGACACTTCCAGCAATGCAGATACAATTGCGTGTTCTCTCTAAGTAGCATCCCAAGTCTGACTAACAAGCAGCACTAATCAGGAAGATCTCAACCACAATAAGACAACCAGGATGTGGTCATGGAGGCTGATGCCAGCTTGGAAACTAGGGCAATGGTGAGGTACTCAAGGCTCCAGGAGGGTGCAGGAAAGGCAGTCAGAATAGAACAGCCAAACATCAGCGTGGGATCTGAGAAACAGGACTCAAGTCAACAGTAGAAGGGGAAGGATGGGAATCGAGCTGGGAAATGAGAAGTCAGCAAGCCCAATGCCACCTCAATGAGCTTGATTAGCAGAATAAGACCTTTCTACTAATTTATCCTGTGCTCCCTTTAAGAAATCATGGTTACCAGTTGTTCAGTATTTACCACAACAGAGCTGGATGATCATAAACTTCAGGAGAAGAGGAAATATTTTCCTGTGTCCTGTCAGTCATATAGGACACAATTCTTAAGAGGGACTGGGGAAGACATGAAGTCCATATAATTACCAACTATAAATTTCAACCAATGAACAAGTACTAGTACTGGCAAAAACAAGTACTGGCTTCTGAAAATACTCACTTTATCAAAACTGCCTGATTTACAGCTTTAGAGAGACATGGAGGAAAATAGATGAAGGAAAGAAGCACTCTACTTAGCAAATCAATCCTTGGTTACCATCTCATACCTCTCTTTTCACAGCTTGGACCTCTACAGGCATCAGGGTAGCAGGTGACTTTGGCTTCACAGCTTTTTGTTTCTCTGCTGCTTTTTTTTCTGGTACTTTTGGCAAATTTTCCAGTTTATTTTGGAGCAGATCAATTATTCTAGAATCTGCAAATACTTCCGCAATATCAAGAGCATTCTTTCCTGTATTTAAAAAAAAACAAACCAACACCTGTATAAGCTGTGAAAATGAACCTTGGTACTTGTTATTGCAACCAGACAACGACACTACAGTCAACTGAATTTAATTAGGCCTCTATTTTATTAACCACCCAGTGTGCCAGCAGCGTGCCTGCCATTGGTGTGAGGACTGGCACTCATTTTGAAACAAAATACTGCAGGAATTCTTGGAGTGCTTGTTTTGCTCTTAATGTCCTGACATTTGCAGCTTAATGTACTGGTCCTGCAGGTTGTAATTTTGATCTTTGAGAGCATTTAGCACTAGGAGATGGCTAGCAAAGTACAAGGTCAGGAATGTAGACCAAGTTATTGTAGGCATCTAACTCTTCCAGTACTTGCTCTGTGGGCAGCAAGGAGTCAAGGGAAAGCCTTGTGGTTTAAATGGGGCTGAACACCTTCAGTGCTCAATAAGGGGAAAACTCTCCGGGGTCTTACGAGTTCAGACCCTGTGGCTGTAAAGTAGTCATGAGACTAAGCTGCTGTGTGAATTCCAACTTCATGTGGTAACAGAAACGGAGAATACACGTTCCTTCTACAAGCAGGGTTTCATCTCCTGGGTGTTTTGGGAAGGAAAGTCTCATTATGTAGCAGTGTTGCTTCCTATGTTGGAACGAGAGCTTAAAACATGATAAATGTTAACGGTTTAAATTACTCTGAAAATGGAGGAAATAATACTGAATGAGGGATCTGCTGCAAACAGGTAACACTTCAATATCAGCTCAGATTTGTTTTTCTGTTAAAACACTTTTTTTTTTCCCCCTCAGCGAGTATTATTTATTTTCTAACCAGTGCTGCATGTGCATAAAAATAAGTGACGTAAATGGGTGGCAGAGAACACACTGGCCGCAACTAAAAATCTAATTTTCCATGAAATAATATTAGTAACTAGCTAGATTTTTTTTCATTAAAGCCACTTATAACTCTGTATATATCCTATGAGGAGCAATAGCCTCCTTAATCATGTAATTAGTCATGTTACTTTATTTTCTAGATGCATAAAACCCAGGAAAGCTGACTTAGAATAGAGACTCCATCCTGCAGAGAACAAATTGAACCCAACCGACACCTTTATCCTAATCCCGATAGCAATTGTAAATTCAGAACACTTCTCCAAGTGTTCCAAGAACTCAGGTTTTTTAACAAAACATGTATCCACACAAGGACACAGCCCTTTTTCGGCGACACCGATGCTTACCATTGCTGTTTGTAGTTTGGATGTCAGCACCCGCACTGATTAAAAAATAGACTATATCCAATCTGCTGATCTCGATGGCTCTCATGAGTGGGGTTGCGTTGCCTATTGCAGGTGCATCCACGGCTGCTCCAGCCTTCACCATCAGTTCAGCGATATCCAGGTGTCCGTTATAGCACGCGTGGTGGAGAGGAGTCCACAGGAAGTTGTCTGTGGCGTTTACATTAGCCCTACAAAAGAACAAGAGAAGTTGTGGCAGATGATGATAGCTACTGGATGCACTAACATCCACAGCTCCAAGTCCAATCAACGTTAACTGCCCACTGCAATGGCATGTTCAACGTAAAGAAATGTTTTCATGTTGCTGCTGCTATTCTAAACCATTTTAGTATCTGATTTATAGCTTGTCATGGAATGTCAGTTGTAAGAGGGTGCCTGGGTGGTGACCGTATCCCCCTCTAAGCCAACGCAGTGTCCTCTACATGGAGGTTTTCACAGGTACCGGGTGAAACAGGCATTCAAACAGCTTAGTCCTGTAAAATGCTGCCAGTGTTTGTGCTCCAGGTTCACTGAGAATGGCAAAAAGCAGATTAAGGAATTTTAAAAAAGTATGCTTCTGGGCCAAGAACAGGTGCTTTAAAATGTGGCTAAACTGACCATGGTCTGATTTTTTGAATGAGTTGGAGAAGGTCTGCCTCAGAAGATCTGAGTACTTAAAACTTTTTCAGCTGTGTTGCTGGACTGCTCCCAGGTTAAAACTGACACATTCTGGAGGATGTAAGGGCTAGTTTGGGGGAAATTTGCAATATGCTGCCTTCTGATGAAGCTGAGGAGAAACACGTTATCAGCCCTTTAGCAACTGGCTGCCTTGGGAGCTCTTGGGCTGGGGGCATGTGAAAGCAAGGCTTGGGCAACGAGCCACTAGAGCCCCTGAGTGGTGCTAAAAGGGAAGGAACATGGTTCCTCCATATCTTTGAAGAAAGCATAGTCCAGGACCATGCCCAGATCTGTGACCTTGCACGTGTGCCCTGTGTGGATTCAGAGGGGGTCAAAACCTCATGAAGGGATTCCCAGTGCTCAAGCGGAGTCAATTACTTTGCATTGTATTTAGGACAGTCTAGAGGTCCTGAACTGAATTAGGGTCACTGTCCCATTTACTCTCAGGACAAAGAGCTGGTGTCTTCCCAAAAGACATGGAAGGAGGGAGAAGGAAGAAAAAAAATTTGGAAGAAAGCTGCTTCCTTTTTTGCTCTTTTGGTCACATGGTTAATTAACTCTAGATCAAAAGAGCAGATTAATCTGTTTATCTTTTCTGTTTAAAGCTTTAATATTTTTCAGAATTCTACCTTTGGTGAGGTCTCATTGCAGTCAATTCCCCAGACCTACCAGTTTTACCTTTGTTATCTTTCAGTTGCTTAGCTGTTATGGTTTATTCATATGTAGTTGTCATTTCCTTTATATTTCTCATTAAAATAAGCAGTTCCAGTTATTCCACTTTCTCTCTCGACCCAACACCATGCCTGTACTGATACTTTTTCTGCCCCTGAATCCCTTTTGCTAACTTCATTCTATCAGAAACAAACCCATCAAAGGGAACAGGGACAACACAGCACTGACTTAATTCTTCAGCATTTACTCCTGATCAGACATTGAATTTTCCATTAGCGCAAATTTAATTTACTGCTGAGTCTTTCTGGAACAAGATAGAAAGTGGGTAACACCAATTTATGCTTAAACTTCAGCATTTTTCTATAGCTCTGAAAAAATGTTTGGTTTTCTATTTGATATGGCTTTGTGATGCCGCACTGAAAAGGTTATACTGTAAAAAGTATTTAAACTCCCATGCCCGACAGAAAGCAGCTGAAAGTCCATGCTGTGGAAAGATGCAAAGCTAAACACTGTGCTGATAACTTTCCTCTCTACTTTTTGATTTCTATCAACTTAAAAATCTCAAATTTGGTACTGTTTTTTTAAACTAAGTTATTACATTTCTAGGTGTAACTTAAATATGTGGGGATGTGACTCTAGTGCTGTCCAGTGAGGCCTGATGAAAGCACTGGAGACTAATTTGCTAACTCTCGCATCCTTATCTTTGGAAGACCTGAATATACACATCTACACAACTTTCCATATGCTCCAGGAATGTCAGTGTAATTACCAGGGTGTGTAAAGATACAAAGTGCTCTTAAGCCTTTACAGGAAATGGATCAGCAACTACTGCCACTTATCCTTAGAAACGAACATTAAAATGAATTCTAGCTACAGGTAGGGAATAAAAACTAATGTAAATATCTTTGAAAAATGTTCATTGAAGCGTTTGTGTGAATGACTGTGGGACTACAGCAGTCTGACAACGAAAAAGAAGAGATTACGCTGTTACACAAGTATGACTGAATCTGTCTCAAGTCGCTTTCAATTTGAGCTGTCATTGAGATTTTTCACAAGCCTGTCTGTAGGCTACAAAATTGCTGAAGCACTTCTAAAATGAGGAACAGGCTAAATATCAGCATGGGCTTCTGGTGGAAATCCTGCTGCCTCAGCCTGCTGAAGCTACAGAGGAAAGTGATTAGAAGGCTTATCCCCTGAAAACATTTGCATGCAAAGGCCCTGGCATGTGGAACAGGGAAGTCCAGGATTGCCTTGATGATTTTGAGCAAGTAACTTGAGCCAGACTTCCTCAAAATCGGAGAAGTGATTTTGGGGAAGAGTTCAGTTTTGAGGATGCACTTTTTGAGGCGTGGCTATGAACTAACTGTAGTTCCAGTAGACTGGATTTGTAGGTACTCTGCAGCTGACCAAAAGGCCAACAGCCCAGACACCAAAATTTCAGACCTAGAGAAGTGACCTCTTGGGTGGTTTTATGTCCCTCTTACTCAAATGTGAAAAATAATAAACTAACCTTCTGTAACTCAGGATCTTATGGAACTAACTTTAATACTAAACATTATGTAAATAAAAAAAACCCATAGTTGCATCCAAATGTTTAATGGAAATTTATGCTTTTGAAAGCCCTTCCAAAATAGCAATTTAAAAAAAAAAAATTAAAAAAAAAAGAAATGATCTTACCCCTTTTCCAGAAGATACTGCACAACAACTATGTTCCCGCTTGCACATGCAGCCATCAAAGGTGTTTTGTAATATTTATCTTTGGTGTCTACTGGCACACCTTCCTCAAACGCTTTCTGTAGGGACAGAATGTCTCCTGCTCTGACGAGGTAGTTAATGTTCATGTACGTTTTCCTTGGCTCCTCTATATACCAGGCACGGTCGTCATGCACGGGATGGGCAGACGGGTGGCCCCGGGTAAAACGGTGGCTCTCGGCAGTGTTCTGAACAGCCTCGATCATGTACGCGGGGAAGCCGCCTTCCCTACGCGGAGACGCGCTCTTCGGAATGACACAAATCGGCACGGGGACGGCGATGCCTCTTTGGCCTCTTCGTTTCTTCCCTTTCTTCCTCTTCTTGCGTTTGGGTGTAAAGGACGTTATAAGACAGCTTTTCTGCAGGTATTTAGAGCCTTTAAAAAATTCCTCAGTGTCGATTCCATCCAGGTGAGATCCTTCATGCATTTCCGCCACAGTTTGTACTTGCTCAGCGTTCACAAAGGCACATTGCTTCTGAATGACTGACACAAAGTCCTCTGTAGCTACTGTCCCATCTCCTTGGTCAACGGCCTCAAACGCCTTGCGAAGGGCAGCCTGGTGCTCCAAGGACCAGTCGTACAGCCTCAGTGCCCAGCGGGGGTTGTCCTCCTTGGCCCCGGGCTTGGACTGTTTCCTAAAGGTGTTTTCGATTTTACGCAATGCTGCTGCTGCTGCTTTAAAACCGCCTTCCTTGGCAACGGCTCTTGGGGTCTTGGTTAACAGGTTTGTCCACGTAGGATCACAGCCTGAAAACACAGACGTGGTTTTGCTGATAACACAGTGGGATTAGCAATTACTGATTAAGTCATGTAAGAGGCTTACAATATACATGCAACTAATTGCCACAGGTCTACAATTCTGTGCTGTCTTAAGTATAAATAGCGATAGTAGATGGAACCACATCATTGATCCCAGACTGGAAGGCTGGCCACGTGTCTGTGTTCGTTTCCCAAAGGGCGATTCATCAGGTAACCCATGCTCTACTTATCTGCCCACTCATGAATACGTACAGAAAGGCAGAAGCTCAGTGGAAACTTTACGTTTTCTCTTAAAGCAGTGAGCAAGGCTAAGAAGAAAGAAACTAAGATGAAAATACCACTCAATATTCTATACTCCAACCTTGCAATTTGGTGGTGGGTCACTAGTTAAACGTTTGAGTGACGAGAACAGAACGTAGGATTTCGCGTGGTCCTTTTGAATCAAAAGTTGAAGTGCTGTGATCAACAGCTTAAGTTAGAAAATGATCAAAGCTGCTTGGGAGTATGCTTCAATGTCTGGGGGTGCCAAGTTTTCTCCATGGCTACACTGAGATAATTTTTTTAAATTATCAGCAAACCAAAAATTAATTTTCTATTGGAAAATTCAATACAATACTTCTAAAACCAACTAAAAACAGAACCACTTAATACACTCCAGTTCTAAATTATACAAACCCATGATGTTTCTGCTGCTTTCTTTGGAAATGCTTTATCTCATCTTGGCCACTTGAGTAAAAATAAGTCATACTAGCCTGTTAGGTGCTTCTTAATGAGAATTACATTTGCCATATGATACCCCAAAGAGTCAAATCCTTCATAAATGCCCCAGTGAAATCTTTCCTTTAGCACATAAATAGAACATACGTGATAGTTGCAAAGTAACTTATTTTTCCTGTACCTCTTTGTCCTATAAACTTGCAGCAATTTGCAAATCCTCCCTCTGCAGCGTAATGAAGTGGTGTGTTACCGTTCATAGCAATCAGGCCCAAGTCTCCATTATAAGCTGAAATAATCCTCAAAATCTAGAAAAACAAAGACGGGACCACTAAAAATCTTGTCTGTTTCTTAAGATGGGGAAGCGTGAGAATGATTTACAAATAAATGCAGTACCATATATTCCCAGCTTATACAGTGAACTTCTCTCCCATGCCCAGCTGAACATGTGCATAACATTCAAGTTTTCTATAGTACTGTGCTTGCTTAACTCAGGAAATAGAAACCTTGTTCAGTTGTAGACATCAAGGACAATCTTCACTCCTGCCAGCCCACTGTCTTAAAGTAACTCTGACGCTGCATACACAATCAAAACTGCATAATTTTCTATCCTTTGAAGATGATATGGGGAAGGAAGTGCCTACCTGCAGCTGAAAGCATCTGCCCTTCTTATAATGGTAACGTTTCATCCATGTTACACAGCTGTGACGTGCTACGTGTTGAGAGAAACAAGCTCTCTATAGGAGTTGTTCACACCAGGCAGCCACACTAGCACACACACTCATAGGTACTTTGGCAAAAAAAGGCTCTGCAATTACGAGGGAGATTCTATCACTGCTGGTTTCCCTTTGATACGTAAAAAGAAGCTGCTCTCGACTGCTGATTATTATACTTTGATCAGCTGAGACACAGGGCTCAAAAACCAGAACAAAAAAGCAGGTTTGGCTTTGCAGCAGCCCTTAACACCACAAACGATACCTCAAAAAACCCGCCTTTGGCTGCGAAGTGTGCGGCGCTGTGTCTCTCAAGGTCGAACAGGTTCACGTCGACTCCCCTCTCCAGTAGAGCACGCACCAGCTCAAGAACACCTTCTCTTGCTGCTTCCATTAAGGCTGTGCGACCTGTAGCCTGCAACGTAACAAGAAAACAACTCGGAATTTGTTTCGTATGCCAGATCAGGTTGGAACAACACGATCTAACTGTTGCAAGCTGGCATAAAACTGAAGGCCTCTTTGTAAGTATTATTGAAGAAAGGAGACAAGTCCAGTACACTTCTAGGTAAAATTCGAGAATCTAGTCATACTGCTGCTAAAATATGAGCATAAAATTTAAGAATCTAGTCATACTGCTGCTAAAATATGAGCATTACTATTAACCTGTTGGCCCACTGCGATGCTTAGAATATCTTACTTGCCACCCTACAGAGAGGCAAAGAGATCACACACAGTGCAGGAGGCAGGCAGTGAACTGAGGATATTGTTCCACTGAACCATACTTTCTTCCCTGATATCTGTCTTTCTCTGGGCTTAGCAAACCATTCCCATTATGTGACCAGGTATGTGCCCAACATATTACAAAAAAAAATTAGGGTTTCTCGTCATATTGCAGGTACACCGAGTGCATGAGCGGATATGTGCATGAGAGGATGTGGTAAGAATGTTCTAAAACTGGCCACATAAAATGTTTTACTACAGCTACAAGCCAGGAAGGATACTGCAAAACTAGGGCCAAAACAAAAGCCATGGGTAGCTCTGAGGGACAGCTTGAGCTCCTTGACTTGGTCAATAGCACAGAGCTTCAGTCCTTCCAGTCTTTGTTAAATTAAGGAAGGAAACAAATAAATGACTAAGATGTATGAAAGAGAGAAGAGTTTCTTAATTCTTGTCCCTGCCTTGATTCCCCATCAAGCTTTTTGTGCTGGAGTCACTATTTAATGAATATTATTTTGACTCTGAAAACCTTAGGGCACTCCCAGGCCAAGTACAAATCAGCATTGCTCCACTGAAGTACAGAGAACTGCAGCTCTCAAGAGCCGAACCAGTTATATTTTGGTTTTATAAAATATTTGCACTCTGATCGACAAAGATCTAAATCAGGATACATAGTTCAAGCAGAATACTTAAATCCCTGCTCCTGCAAAAATGGTACAGAGGAGGGGAACAGGCATGGCCACAGAGTTAAGCACTTGTTCCTGCGTTATTATTTTAGTGTGAGGATTTAAGGTCATACACTCCAGTCATCTGGTAACTATTCTGTGCTCCTGTATATATGATCTTAGTTACAGAAACATTCATACCGGGTTTCTTGCATTGGGATTTGCTCCTCTTTCCAGGAAGTTCAGACACATTTCTTTCATATCATGAGCTTGCTCACAGGCTTGTAGAAATGCAGGTTTCCCATCAGTAGTACAGTTGTTAACGTCTGCACCATGATCCAAGGCAATTTGCGCGCAGCGGTAGTGCCGTCTTGTAGGTGAAATGCAGTAAAACAAAACACCTGCGAAGAAAACCAGCAGGGATTCAGGTGTAATACTGAGTGGTAAGAAAGCTCACTCGGGCTGTGAGCTTCATAGCTGAATGGACAACCCCTTCAGCAAGGACCCATCAACTTCTCTTAGGGAATACGTGCAAAAAAGATTTCTACTTTAGGGCCTTGGAACTTGGGGACTAAACCAGAATTTAGTATGTGACGGGTCATGGGAGGAATGTGATGCTCAATCCCAAGTTCTCTTTCAGCTATGTGCTAGAGGCACCTAAGATTTGAAGGCCTGGACTGCTCAGGGAGAAGTATTTTCATTTCCATCACCGCTCTTATGGCCAACAGCTTCTGTTGGGCTGTAAGGATTACCCTCAGCCCTGGTTCCTCTCTTCAGGTCGGACACAACGTACGCAGCAGGTGTGTAACACAGTAAGGGGTCATTTTAGGGCATTTCTGGTCTGATAAGGTTCCCTTTCACCTACCTTTTCCTTCATTATCCACAGCAGTCATGTCTGCTTTAGTTTTTGCTAATAAATCCAAAACCAACTCGTGGCCTAGCTCAGCTGCCTTCATTGCTGGAGTACGTCCACTTTTGTCCTTGACGTCTGGATGAGCGCCCTGTTCCAGCAAGAAGCTACACATGTCGATATCGTTTTTAATGCAGGCCAAATGAAGGGCACTACATCCTTCCACAGGCTCTGTGAAGTTAATGAGATTTGGGAATCCATTCCGGACCAGCTTTTCTATTTGCTTTTGGTCTTTCTGGTGAACGGACTGAAGAAGTTTGTAGATCTGTAAGTCTCTAAGTCTGTCATCTATCAGCAACATCCTGGAATAAGAAAAAACAGCTTCTTTCAAGGAAGTAATTTCTGCATGGGGAAGGAAGAAAACATGTAAACTCAGAGATGAGATTATAATTATACACCAGTAAGAACAGGAATCAAACTATGTTCAAAGCATGAAAATACCCACTTTAACTTGGCAGAGCACTAAGCTTTGAATGAATTTATCTCATTTAGTATATACAGCACATATAGAGACTATATAAGCACATGTAGCCCCTTGCCAAATCCTTCTTTCTAGTCTTCAAACTGTTCTGAAGCAGTCTCATTCAAGGTGAAAATTAAGTTAAGAAACCGTAAGGTAACTGTTCTCCATTCAAGGAACTGTTATAATCTACAACTACATGGAAGCCTAAGGGGAGGCTGATCATCTGTCATTTTAGTACTTCACAGGGAAAAAAAAAATAAATCATGAGTCTCCGTGCCCTCTGCACTTGCTAAAACATAAAACAGATACTGGCATCACCTCATCAGTATCTGAGCACCTTCTTTTTTTTTGGTAGCCGATGAATGAACTTCCTGCAGGTCTATGTACATAAAAGAGTAAACTGCATTTCTCTGCAACAAAACCTGCGGGGAAAAAAAGATCCAGACAGTAGGGTACTAGCCTGGAAAACAATTCCCCCAGGTGATGCAACACATGCTTCTTCAGAAAAGTGTGGAGCAGGAAATCAACTTTGCATTTGCCTCAATTCTGATTTTTTTTTTTTTTTTTTTTTAGTCTCTTTTAGCTGGTCTCAGCACTTGTGGGTGGAGGGCCAAGAAAGGGTCAGACCCTTTCTAAGAACCATTTCTGAAATTTGCTGAAGTGGATGAGAAGCTCCTATCAGCTTCAGTAAGCCTTGACTCAGCCTGTCCTCCAAAAAGGACAGTGCGCTTGCAGGACATGCAACAAAAAAATGTGGAGGAGCAAAACCCAAGGGAATACTTGGGTTTTGGGGTGGCTTTTTTTGTTAGCAATAGAGCCTGTAATTGGGAACACTAAGTAATCTGCCTGGCTACTACTGGGTGCTTTGTAGATGTCCAAGAAAAGGCGAGTTTTGAGAGAAAGATGTGGAATGATGCACAATTCCAACAGACTTTTTGAGGCAATACCTCCCGTTCTGGACAGGAAGCCTGACAGAAAACTGCAGGAAAGTAGAAAAAAAAGAATGAAGGCTAATCATGTTGGGAATGGACAGAGGGAGGTAATTTTTATACCATAGGTACAACATGCCAGTTGTCATTTCTGTTAACTACTGTCTTTCATTTTTTTTGAAGTTCTGTGGCCAGCCTACTTTTGGAACAACAGAGACAGGGGCTGAGTTTACTGTTGCCAGATTTATGAGAACTCTTCTGTTTTCCCCCACTAAACCACCTTTTTAGCACTATCCCTGTGCATCTGGCCATGCTGCCTAAAGATATCTGCAGCCCTGAGCCAGGTGCTAAATTATTTCCGTAAATGTAAGTGAAATTATTTTCATCACAATGGTTACGTATCCTGTTATCACAACTCGACCACCAGTGAGATCCTACCAAGTTTAAAGCTTTTGCTTCAAAGTGCTAAGAACCAGCAATTTACATGAAAACAACCGTAACATTTTAAGTGTGACAGTTAATATTTCTGTGCAGCATTTCTTGACAGTGACTGGATGAAATTCTGTTAGAAGTTTCTGCAGTAACACAATCAAAGATAGGTGGGAGAGAAAACTCTACCCAGAGTCAGGTAAAGTTACAAGCAAGTGAAACAGGCTTCTATACTGAAAATATAACCACAGCGTTCTGCAGATTTTCATTAAGTGAGTACTACCAACCATACGTACTTCACAGAGTTTTTATCAACCTGCAACAGATCTTTAAATGGAAAATCAGGGATTGTTAACGTGGCTTTGAGACAGTCATGCTCTGGAGAGGACTTCATGATACGTAATCACAAATCCCAAACTTGTAACATCTGCTTAGCAACGGTTTTATCTGTCTACAAAAATCAACAGAATCGCTACCTTCCCTCTGCCACCTTGTATCATTGTTTTGGTTGAGAGCATGAACTCACTTCCAATTCAGATTAATCCTTTTCCTGGTACACCCAGTATTAAGAAAATCATTTGAATCAGATTCTTGTTTTGTCACAAAGCTTTCCAAGCTGTGATCGAGGTACACTGACAGAAAGGGAAGGTCTGGTGACCAGGGCTCTCACCCACTGACTCCCTGTCGAAGCCTGGTGCCTGATTGCTGCTGGAAGCACTTGTGACTCCTTTCCTAAAGTTTTCAACGTTTCAAATTGAAAACATCCCTTTAATTATCAATATTCACAAACCAGTAAACAAAATTTTCATATGTTTTATCTTTAGTGAGAGAAAGTAGCTTAGTGCTTTCTCAATTTAATCCATTTGCATGCCGGCCGCAGAGATAAGCTGGAGCCCTCCATGCTGGCACAAGGGAACTGACATGGCAACAGTGCCACGCTGGATTTACAGCTTCATGCAAACAATCGCAGCGGGTCTGGGCTGTGACTATTTTTAATGGGAGCGATGCAGCAAAGTCTTCCTAAAGCTGAATCCCAGTAAAACGAATCGCCTGTAATGATGGGGTTTGTGTGCCTCTGGACTTCCAGGAGCAGGGAACGCGGCGTGACTGCTCCCGCAGAGCCTGGAGCGCCGGGGAAGCCGGGTGAGGGGATACAGCTGGTGCGGGCTGATTTCCCTCGGGATGGGTGGCCGGCAGAGCAGGCTGGCTTTAACGGGAAAGAAACCGCCGGGAAGGGAACACCTTGCGGAGCTGGCGCTGGCCCGGCCTTGACTTGAGCGGTACGGACTCGCTCGCCTGACGATGCGGAGAGACAAACTGAGGTGACTTCCCGTCCGCCCTCCTCCGAGAGGGGCGCGAGGCGCTGGGGTGCTGATGGAGTATTTATTTTGGGAATGCGAAGCGCAGCAGCTCGGTGGTGCCGCTCCTGCTGTGCCCCCTCCGCCCCCAGGCGCACCTGCCCCACACGGAGCCCTGCACTCGCGTTCCCTGCCCGGGCGCGCCGAGGGGCCG